TCTTCAGTGCAGGAGATACCAGAACCTCTCCGGGCGGTCTATTCCAGAGCTCTGTCACCCTCACAGTAAAGATGCYCTTTCTCATATGCGCATTCTTCCTGCGTTTCAGTTTATACCCATTACCTCCTGTCCTCTCCCTGGCCACCAGCAAGAAGAGTTTGGTGSCATCCTCTTTACATTCTCCCCTCGGRTATTTGTACACGTTGATAGGATCCCCTCTCAATCTTCTCTTCTGCAGGCTAAGCAGGCCTAGCTCRCTTAGTCTTTCCTCATACGAGAGATGCTGCAGTCTTTTCACCATCTTTGTTGCTCTGCACTGGAGTCTCTCAAGAAGTTCCACGCCCCTCTTGTACTGGGGAGCCCAGAACTGCCCCCACTACTCCAGGTGCAGCCTCACCAGCGCTGAGTAGAGGGGCAGGATCCCCTCCCTTGACCTGCTGGCAACACCGCTCGCGACGCCGGCCTGGAACCCATTGGCCTTCTTGGTCACGATAACAAAGAAATAAATATTAACTTTTGAAGGAATATGAAAAAGCAATAATTGTACAAGTATTATTAGTGATTGCATTTTAAATGAAAAGAAATCTGAGTTTAATTCTGGTTAAATAGAACTCCTCCTGTGAGTGATATACCTGCACATAAGTAATGAAAGAGTACTTTTTCATTTCAGGAACACTCTTGTAGTAGTAGCTATTTAAGATGGATATATTACCGGATTGATAATCCCAACATTAATCTGTGGATTTTGCTCATTTTAACATGTTTAAGATGAAATATTCACAGTTACTTTATCTTTTTTAAGAGCAAAGGACTTCATTAGTAATTAAGCAAAATTAGAATTTAAGATGCTGTTTTGTGCCATAGGTTCTGGTTAGCAGTAGAAGACCTGAAGAAGAGGCCTATCCGTGAAGTTCCTGCTCGTGTCCAGGAAATCTGGCAAGAATTTCTTGCTCCGGGTGCACCCAGTGCCATCAATCTAGATTCAAAAAGTTATGACAAAACAACACAGAACGTAAAGGACCCTGGAAGATACACATTTGAAGATGCTCAGGTCAGTTTGCAATCATTTTTCAAGGCATCTGGAAGAGAATATTGGCAATTGGAAAGTATATAGTGACATAAGATAAAATATATGGGGAATGAAGTGATAATAAACTGTTTCTCTATAATGCAATTTCAGCTATAAATGCTCAGCTTTTTGGTTTTTTTTTTCATGAGGCCTATTGTTTGTTAAGGTGGGTATTCCAGAAACTTCTCTGCTTGGTATAGAGGCTTCAAGTTGGCTTCATATCCAAGTGCATAATGCAATAAAAAAGATATTTTCATGTTCCTGCTTTCTTAGTTCTCTTGCATTAAGAAAAGAAAAAAGCTTAATCCATTGCATTAAGATAAAAGCTTCCCCTCTATATGTATTTCTGATTCTCAAGAACTGCCTCTGAAGGACTGCCCTTGATACAGGCTCAATTTCTGCTATGCCAATGCAAATACAAAACACTTGTCACCATTTGTAGGTTCTTATCATGGACAGAGTATGACTCGTGAGAAATAACAGTTTTCAGAGGCTTCTACTGAAGTGTCATGTTCCACAGATGATTTACTTTTTAAACTTTAATAAAAGTACTATCTCTAGATCACCAGGCAAGGATTCTAAGAGTACATTTCCACAAAGAGTATTGCAGGAGCAAAGAGTCTGTAAGTGAGGCTCTTTGTGGACCAGTGGGGTCATACCTTGCATACGATAATGAAAAGATTTGATCAGAGCTATGATTGTAGAAATACTTTTTTTGAGTTTGGAAACAAAAGTTGAAAATTAAAAAGGGGAAATATAAATCTTGGTTTTCCTTAGATGCAAAAAGTAAAACAAGTACTTTTGTATTAAATGGGACATTTCATGTAACTAAATATTTCATATTTGCAGACTTGCAGGGAAAAGGAATAGAAAGAACTGCATTCACAGCAAAAGTAATAGAAGTATCATATTCCTCTGTTTTTATCAGCAACCCAGTGATGAAATTTTAATTATTAATGCAAAGTAAAATTGTGTCAAAAGGAGCGATTGAGATCATATCCCTGCAGAATATTCTATAGCTTGATTATTACAATGTCGTCTTGAGTGTCAGGAGATGCAGTTCCAAATACCATGGAGCAGAGCAGGGAATCAAATCTGGGCCTCCTGCCTTTTGGAAGGGTGCCTGCGCCCTAGAGAGCAAGGAGAATAATTCTGTCATTTTCAGAAAGAAAGGAAAAAAGAAAATTCCTGTGCTCTCATTTTGCTGTTACAAGAATAGCAAAATATGATGCAGCAAGTGAAGTTTTCATGAGACATTATATCATACATGCTATTTTATAGTACTCTGCATTAAGCCAAATATGGAGGTTTTTCTTGCCTCTGCTAAGCCACACTGGAGATTTAAGAATGCAGTGTCCATTACAAAAGGAGTAAATCACACAAGTAAATATTCTAGCAATACAAAGGCTCTAAAAGAAAACACCTCTTCATGCTATATTCTGAATTAAATGCTTTAGAACCTTTAGACTGTGTTCTATCTGAAGTGGCAGGGCTTTGTTGGAAGCAGAGCCCAGCCTTTCTAATAGGCTTTTATTGGTCTGTCATTATGGAAAGGGAAAACTCACAAAGCATTTTCTAAGTCAGCAAGTGATTTAATTTTGATTTAAAAGGCTTTGAAAGGCTCTTCTCTTGGACTTCATAGGTGACATCACAGAACTCCGTATCAAATGAAAGTGATACATTACTAAAAATAGAGTTTATACTAACATCCAACTTCTACTCTTGAGTTATCATATATTAACAGTTCTAATGCATTGCAGCTTAATTTATCCTCATTTTTACAGTTTTTTTTTCACAGATATTGCATTTTAATACCAATTCTGTTGATAGGAATAGAATTCTTTTTGCTATCTTGGCTGAATTGGCTGCTCTCATAGAAACTGAATGGAATAAAAGCTCCCCCAGTGTCAATTCTATATATTCTCTAGAATTTCCTTGTTCAGTTTAGAAAGCACAGTGCAGCACAGTTAGAAAATGTGGAGAATAATTTTAATATAATAGTGATTAAAAATCAGTTTTAATTTTATTTTCCCAGGATTTTCATCAAAACTTTTTTTTTTTTAATTCACTGATCTTATGCAATATCAAGTTTAGAAACAGTATTTACTTCAAAGTTATACGCTGTTTTGGGGTTGCTGAAACCACCTATACCAGAGGGTAGGCTTAAGTCTGAAGGAAATACAAATATCAAAATTTAGGAGAAGTTTTATAGTATTTCATGGGATAGCATTTATAGTATTTCCTATTGAGATTACTTTTTCTTAAAATTCTTCTTCTAATGTTATAACCAGAACTAAAATTATAGATCATAAATTGCCTGTATTGCAGATTTTTAATTTCTTGAATATTGCAGATATGAGAATGTTCCAAAAAGGAAAGCTGTATACCATTTGTTTTCTGGATCAAGGTTTCCAAATTTTCATGTACTTCTGAAGAATAAGTATCTTGGAAATTAGGTTAAGTTGGAACTATTCTTCAATTTGCATATATATTTTCCTTTTTATATTCTCAGCTGAATTGCAGAATAAACATCTGTCGAATGTTTTCAAGAGTAGTCGTGTTAGGGCATGTTCCCAGAGCAGCCATGTTCTCCTCAACTTAAGTACTTCTCTGTAGTGCTGAATTAGAAACTTTGGACTTTTTTACAGTTTATGAACTAAGATAAGTATCCCCAGAAAATGATTCAGAAAATCTGATCAAGAAGGAAGGATCCAGGGCTCTGGACTTAATCTCTTAACTAAACTGGCTGATCTTGAAGCTGAGCCTCAAAGTAAAAGTGCTTCAATTACAAGTACTCTGTTGTAAATTCTTGGAAAAAATGATTCTAGAGAGAAAATGGGGACTGTAAGTTAAAAAAAAAATGTTCTTTTATACATAACATGTAGGTGAAATTTATTTTAAGAATAAAAAGCAACTCAGTCTTAGCTGCAGACCAGCAATCTGCTATATAATTATCTATTCTTATATTTTATATTATTCCATATCAGGTATCTATACCTTCTTCCTATTATCCATTTGAAATAGTGCTAGCAATGTTATGCAATTAAAAATATGTGAGTGCACCCCATTTTCAGGAGGTCTTCTTTTATGAGAATAATAGCTTCTTCTTTCCCTTTCAGGAGCACATTTACAAACTGATGAAAAGTGATTCTTATCCTCGTTTTATACGATCCAGTGCCTACCAGGAGCTGCTACAGGCCAAGAAAAAGGTATTGGTCCATCTTGCCTTTGTCTTGCCACTGTGCAAAGCAGTGGTTATGTTTGCAACAATACTCAGTCTTCTCTCCCCTGTGCCAGTGCAACTGGATATCTGGTAGGTGACCAGCTTGGCGTGTTTCGAGGGTCACATACACACAGGAGTTCAATATGCATATACATGTWTATATCCTGCATGTGGGCATGTTTTAATAAGTTAATCTAGCAAAACTTATTTTTATTTTTACATCTCATGTTGTACTGTTTTCTCTGTTATGAAGCACCTTAAATTGAAAAGTGCTTTACAAATACATTAAAAAAATAAAATAAAATCCCAGAAGAATAGTCTTTCATGTTTGGAAGTTTGCTTATCTAATAATTGTTGTTCTCGTTATTTCCACCTACAAAAGCTACAGAATGTGTTTAGAAACAATCTTACTCCTATCATTAACTTCTGATTCCAACTGTAAAAATAGGGCTTACTTCCATTTCTTTCCCTATTAATAAGAATATCTTTCATTAGTTTGGAAGTCTAATTTGAAAGAGATCACGTTACACTTTTGCAGACAAAGGCTTATGTCTTGGTATGTAATATTTGCTTAAAAAATCCAGTCATGGGAAGACTTTGGGACAGACAGCCCAGATTATGTGGAGCAGCTTGTACAATGCAGATTTCTGTAATGAAAAGTCATTCTCTTAGTGGGCTCTAAATAGTGATCTCCTAGAATCAGTTTGGAGCTCTGTGCTTGCAAAATCAGGGCCCTGCTTGTTGCCAGCATAAGGTAGTTTTTAGCATTCTATTGTTTATAATGACAACCTAAAATTATATGAAAGTACTGTGTGATTTTGTTTTTTGTTCAAACATTGATTTCTGAAGATCCAGTATAGAGAGAGATGTTGAAAATGCCAGAAAGCTACAACTGTCCGTGTGAAGTCCTTAAGTTTGTGAATGTCAGTTCATTAACACAAGATGTGCACTTCATTATTTCTTTATACTTTCAGTTTTTCTTTTAAATCAAAACAGTTTGATCCCCATAAAAAATGATTTTGTCAAATACAATACCCGTTTTGCCCATCCACTGTTTAGCAAAGTTCCATTACAGCTTCATACCTATGTTTGCTTCCTGATTTATACAAACTTTATTTTGCAGTCCATTATTTCATCATTCCTTCTTTTCTACTCCATTTTTCTCTTGCTTTCCTTCCCTCCCCCCCTTTTTTTTTCTTTTTCTTTTTTTTTTTTTTTATTTTAAATTTAAGTTGGAAAACACACTGGATCGTCGAACATCTTTTGAGAAATTCACACGCAATGTGGTAAGTTTGTTGCCTTGGAAGACTAGTAAACCTGATGGAACATCCTCCTCCCCCGACACCAATCCCTCCTTTCCCTTTTTGCTTCTCTAACATGACAGTTAAAATTGTATTTATTACCAGTTTGTGACTTTACCTACGGATGACAGTTTTGTAACATGCTTTCATTGCAGCCCCTTCTCCCTAGTCCCTTTCCCACTGACCTTGGCAGTCAGCCACGGCAGAAGGGACCTTTGGGAGCCATGCTTTTTGCATTGGGAAGCATGGGATGATCCACTTTCCATTCTCCTAAATGCTACTAAAGAGTTTGTGAAAACCTGCTTGATGCTGTTCCCCCTTCTGGAACCTCCTCAAATACTAAGTTTAATACAATTGGATAACACTGGCTTTCCTTCCCATCTCCCTTTTATTTAATTGGAAGAGAATTTGTCCCATTTTTATGATTGGACCCAGGAAAAACTGGTGATATCCTTGTCTTCCTTAATGCCCAGCACAGCTTCTTCAGGGCCAAACAATTCACGTTGATTATGCATAGGGGTTTGACTGGGATTTCATTTGGATAACAGATTACAAAAATAGTTTTTTATATTTCACTGAGGTTAAAAAAATTGAACACTGTCAAATTTTCCTGTATGCATTTTCTTGCCACCTGAAAGAGCCGCTGCTTTCCTGATGTGTGGGATTCTCTTTACTTATCCAATGTCTTGGGATTTTCTTTTTTTTTAACATTGTGAAAGTTCAAACTAAAGCATTCAACACATTTATTTTTGTAGGGCAGAAACATCCCTATTTTCCCATGCCATAAAAACTGTACACCAACACTGAGGGCGAGCACTAACCTGTTATGAAAAGAGGTAGAAAGATCTTGGATTATACTCAAGTTTGCCATGTCTGTTGACTTGTGCAGTTGACGCTGCTGTGTGTGCGTGTGTGTTTGTGGCTTTTTCTGTGACTTGATTAGTGGAGCTGTGTGTGTTGAAATGAAAAAAAAAAGCACAAGAGCTTTCAGCAAAGATCATGGTTTTTTTTTTTTTTTTTTTTTTTTAGTTTCTAGGGATGGAGAAGCAGTTCTCAGAAACTGCCTCCTGCGCAATGAGGCTCAAGAATTTTTCCTCGAGTATTCTAAAAACATACGCTTTCCAGGAATCCAAAAAGAAGCAAATGCAGTGAAAGAACAAAGTTTTGTGAGGCTGTGGGAATATCTCACATGTTAAAACAAAACTGCAATTCTTTTGCTACTTTCCTCTAGGTAAAGGCTTCCTGTATTACTCATTGAGTCCACTCTATGTAAATTCAGGAACAAATTTGGATTCAATGGGCCAAAGTCAGTAAAAGACACTAAAATTGATAAAAAAAAATGACCACAATGAAATTATTCCCATGTTTGAAACAAAAACCCCTATTTTTTGCATGGTGGTGTTGCCATAGCATGTTGCAGTGTGATTTGTGTGTTGTCTAAACAGGTTGATCTATGAAACAACAGTATACATGACCATCCTACTTTCTTCTTTAATAGGACATTCCGTTTTAATAATCAAAGCCATATTAATAAAAGAAAATGCAGAGAGCAAGGGGTATCTCTTGGACCTCTGCAAGCTGGGTCTTCCCCCAGTTGGAGGGACTGACACACTACAACAGCGACGTTATCCATGGAAGCTTGAGTCGGGTCAAGGCAAAAGGGCAAGAGTGGGCTGTAGTTTAAAGAGTGTATAAGTGAGTGATTATAAGGAGAGAAATGCCAAGCTGAAGAGAAATGTGAGGAGAATAATAATAATAAATAAATAAATTAGAAAAAAAAAAAAAAAAAAAGTGAAACCTGGGAGGCTCTAGAAAGTAGAATAGTCCAATAGTCTAGTCCAATAGAAAGTCCAATAATCTCTCTTGGAGCAGTGTTGGGGATAAGCCACCAGTTCTGCACATAAATGCCTGAGCATTAGGCACTGCAGCCATGCCCTGCTTTGCCCACGCAGCACAGGGTGCCAGCACCGGAGCAGCGGGATGCTGCTAATGCAGAGAAGTCCAATAAATAAGCGGTGAGCTAGAGATGAGAATGAGCATTGCTGGATTTGAAGCACTGGTACTTCCTCAGTACAAGAGGACACTTTGTTTTTCACTGAGCAGGCTGTAAAATAATAAATGTGTTTTTTCCTTTGCTCAAACTGCTCCCTAAGGAGTCAGATGGAGTCTGTCAAGTTGGGTCAGCTTTGAAAGTGGGTAATTTCACTGCTATACCTATTCTCTGTTATATCAGTAGCTCTGAGGCTTGCAAATTTACGGAGTGCTAAGGCAGTCGAGTGCAAACCTGTTCTCTGAGAAGAAATTCATATGCTCCAGTACCCCAGGATCCTTGCCACCAGGCATTTTCCTTCTTGTTCTCAATTTCAATTTGTTTATAATATATAATATATGCCTTAGCAGCAGGGGTGAAGGAGATGTTTCTGAGAATGTCCTAGAGCATAGGCATTAAGTTGTTCAACTGTAAAGTGAGAGCCTGTGGTATAGATCTGTTCCTCTGATTATTACAGAGAATAGGTGCAAAACCCATCTCTGACAACCTGGGAAAACACTGTGGACTATGAATGATTGAGCAAGAAGAAAATTATGCTACCTTTGACGGTTTAGTAAATTTAGACTCAATTTCTCTGTTTTTCTGTTTCTTATATCAAAGTGGCCTTGTATTGAATTAAATTGGACCTACAATTTGCCATTTGAAGTGTTTAAAAAAACAGAAAGCTCAGTTGTCTGTGGGGACCAAACCTGAGAGACAACCTTGTAATTCATAACCTGAATTGTTAAGCTGGAGACTTAAGAGGTTCCTGAATCTCTTATTAGATAAATCAGCAATAGTTGAAAGTGAGTATACTTCCTACAGAAAACATGTGCTGAACTAGAAGGCTACCTAGCAGCTGCCATTCCTCTATAGTTTTCCTTGAATTAAATAGAAATCATGTAGTATAATAAAACATTTTCCTAGCTTGCTGGGGGAAAAAATGAAAGAGGAGCTATATATACTAGAAACTAAGTTTATCGCTGTATTTCTTTCACACTAGAGAGTTTTCTTTCCAGAAAACTTTCTGTAATTCAGTGCACTTCATGAAAGCCTTAAATGCACAGCTAAAAGCATTAGGTATTTGGCTTGCTCTGTAAATTTTATAGTGGAAACCTGTAATGCTTTTGGCAGCCTGCAGTAGACAATGTTATAAACACATCTTCACTCATGTACAATATAGATATAGTAATAAGCTTGTATTTGCCATATGTAATATTTATTACTGAACATTTTATAGTTTGAGTAGTTGGTTTGTGTCACTTACTCACAAACCAGGGTTTTCACCCACTTTTTTAATGGATGAAAACACCAGGCATGCACACTTTGGCACTACTGGGATGATGACATTGACTAAGTGCTTTCCTTTGGTATAACACCTGCAAACCAAATTGTCACATCTCAGAGTTGGCTGCACACAAAGTGGCAGTGCTCTGTGCTCCTGTGCAGCCCCTGGGCTTTCTGCTCTGGAAAAAATCATCTTTAGTCATGTACAGTTCCCAAAGTAGATGAGTAGGGAAGGTGTAGGTCAGAGAGCAGGGAAAATCCCAGTTCCATCTGCTACTTGTTGCTTGCCACACCAATAGAGAGGGGAAAATGGGAGGATTTTTAGGCCAATGGAAAATTCTTTTTAGGAATTTATATGAAAAAAAAATCTCTATTAAAAAAAGAAGTCAGGAAACTTTCTGTGTCTCAAGTGGTAAGCTTTATGCTACAGGAGAACAAAAACAGGAAAACATTGCACTGATGGTGCACTGATAATTTTGACAGGAACAAGAAGGTCTTTTAGGAAGAATTTGTTTTCAATTTCACATGCTTAAGATTTGTACAAGTGTCAGACTGACAGCCCAAGCATGATGCCTCCTGGAAGGCTGGCCTGGTGCTTAACTGTGATCAACACCCAAGAAACCTGAACTGCAGGGCTCTCTTTTACACTAGAGGAGGCTAATTTCATTTCCACTCTATGGTACTTCTCTTGTCTCCCCAGGAACCAGGTTAGTGGAGCAAGGAGGTGCAGGTACCTCCTCAAGCCGCCCAGGATGGCAGGTACCCCAGCATCACAGTCATGTCATGGCACTAGAAGCTACCATCAACATTAGGTGCTACCTCTCCACCTACAATCTCTACCTAATTGTAGAGAAAGCAAAGCAAAGCACTATGCTCAGTGCAAATTTCCGATGTCTTATGGACAAACAGCCACTACAAAGCAGACCAACTTCAGTCCATGTATCACACCAAACAGCCATCATATAATTATCTTCCCTCTTTGCCTCATAAACAAGATCTCATTTAATAACACTAAGTTTAAAAACACATCTTTCCATTTCTCATACCCTTTCCACTTGTCTTCCCCCACCTAACTGTAAAAAATAACAATTTCCTTTTAAGTTTTCTCCTCCAAACCAGTAGCATTGGGTGATTTCATGCATCAGGTGAGAAATGTTAAGGCCACTGAACACAGCACATTTTCACTGTGCTCAGTACAATGTCACTAAACCTGACATAGCAAATTATGGCTTAGAGTTGGAAGTTATCTCTTAAAAATAGCTTCTTCCCTTCTTACTCAGGGGTATAGGCTTTCTCTGGTCTTAATATTGACGTCATCTCTTGACATATTGAAATTTGCCCCCTTTTTTTTTAGAAACAATGTAGATAATATATTAATTTCATCTGTCAGCTCGGAAATCTCTGTATATGAGCAGGTAAAACTAGTTATATTTTTCTCCAGCATGGCATGGTGAATAAGCGTTATTGCAGTATCACCCGTGGAATCTCATGTTCTGCACAGAACATGGAAGATTTCCTAATTGCACTTTTGAAATTTACTTAAAGTTATTTCAGAAAGTTAGCATTTAAAAAAGAAAGCTATTCAAAAAAAATAGCATAAAGCTTCTAGTCTGAAATATACAAAATAATAATGATAAATAATAATTGCATAAGTGGAGGCATCTCTTTGATTCCGGAAAAAGATAACTTATTCATGTTTCACTAAAAAGAACTGATGAAATAATWGAAAATTTTCATTTGGCATTTTTCATATTTTTGAAAAAAAAATCCAGTTTTCTAATTTTCCTTTGAGATACAAGCTATGCATATTTGTATAATTTTGAACTATTGAAAACCTTCTAAAAATATCTGAATGGAACATTCTGAATGACCTGAAGTGATTCTGAATGTTTAAATTTCTGTTATTTCACTTTTTTTTTTTTTCTCATTGGATGAGGAGTAGAACAGAAGTGCTCAAAGAGCCCAGCCCAATACCAAAAGGGTCAAACACAGCTATTCCTGGGCGTCCCTGACCTGAGCCACTTCTGGGGCAAGGGAGAGCACTTGGCGAGAGCACTCCTGGGGTGAGGGTAGCACCTGTCTTAACAATAAAGAAAAATAAGAAAGTCTTCTGGAAGTTCCTTAGAAAAGAGAATTAGAGAATTCATCCTCTAAAAGAAAAAGACTTCATCTTCCTCTACCATGCTTTTCAGGTCCAGCCCCTGCACAAATTTCCCATCAACTTCTTATAAGTCACATATGTGTTGAGGCTGTTGCTGACATGCGTGCCAGATTATCTCAAGTGTTTGTGTTACACTGCATAAACAGGTCAGAGAGCGAGTACGTTGGTGCTTAGTGCTTCATAAATCTGCACGTTGCCCTTGTAGTTCCCTCCCAAGTTCCCTTAAAGTACAGTTGGAAGGACAAAACTGTTGAAAAGCAAATATGCCAGGTGGGGACATGAGCACTTAAATCAGTTTTCATAGGTGTACTTCTTCACTCTGATTACTATACTGTCTCCCTGTTCTTTGACTCCCTTTTCAGGTTATGTGTGCAGAGATTCATTTGGGCTTGTAAATTATAATGAAGTTATTAATTAGGTTCAATTCATATTTCCCAAGTGTACATATACAGACAGAAATCCTACTCCAGTTCAGATTTTGGCCATACACCTCCATTCATGGCAAAAATATGTTAAAACAAATTAAAGATCTCCTTTTCATTCTTCAGAGGACTGTCTGCTGCTTTCTGTGATATTTTTCACTTGTTATTTAGTCCTTTTAGCAAAGAAGATTCTTTTCCTATGTGTCATTAGTCATCTGTGACACCTCTCAATATATGATGTGGTAGCTGGAATCATAATTTGGCTTATGGAAATTTTGTTAAAATTCTATCAATCAGAAAGAAATAGCTAAGCTTCAGTCTTAAATTATGGCTCGCGAGGAATGGCCGCAAAATCAATTTGGTAACACTGAGTAAATCTAGAAATCTTCTAGAGATTATAATTATGAAATCCTACTGTACAAATCTTTACTGTACAAATCAGTTTTCATTTTAGAACAGAGTTTATTTTCCTCTGTTCTCTGCAACAGAATTTGAAAGAATATTATGCAATCAGTAAAGTAACAAATGAATCAGAAAGAGGGATATTACATCAATTTTGAACGGCTAAGCTTTCTGTGCATTAAAAGCCTGTTTTTGCAAGAAGAGAAAATATGAGTCAGAATAATGATGGAAGTAGATCTCTTAAGGAAAGTTTGTTTGGTTTAAATTGTCACTTTTCCAACTATAAACACAACTTAAAGATAAATTTCATCCCTTAATACATGGGAAAAGGCATGGGAAGCTTTCCACACTTTGCTCAGTTACCCAGTGGAGATTTCATCTCTTTTGAGCAGTGTGATGTTCACTGAGGCAGGGAAGGGTGGTGGAGGAGAGGAGCCTACAGAGAAACCTTTATCGCTGTAGGGCTTAGGAGAAGAAGTATCCAAAGCCCAGCAGCTTGCTGTGGGGAGAAACACCTGGGGAGCAAGTGATAGAGAATACCAAAAAATTGTCTTGACAGCTTGCTGTATCTATGGGGAAAATCTGAAATAGGCATAGATAAAGATTATGCAAGTCAGCTGAACTGAGTAACTGCTAGTTTTTTGCCTTCATTCAGATGAAAACTTCAGCATTTATATTATACCATGGATTAAATCCTGAGAGATCGGAAGTTTTTTATGGCTCATTTTAAAATTCCATGGAATTTACAACTCTCAAGTAATCAAGTGCTGCAGAGAAGAATTCAAAGTTATTTCACAGATTTTATCACACAGCAAAAGGTTGCATGGTTTTCAGATGCAGTAGTGAGCTTTTTTAAATAACCAATATAAACTCCTGATAGGGAATTATATTTTATATATTTGAGTAGTAAATGGAAAGTAGGCAATCCTATAAGCCTCTAAAATATTAAGTATGAATAACTTAATCAGCAGTAAAAATAAGTGTATGCTCAGTATTTTCCTAGTTCAAGGCTGACATTCATGAATCACCTAACAAAACACAACAGTTTCAGACATGTTTTAAATTGTATTCCAGTGCCATGCAGTTGTTGGGGCTTTTTTGACTGTTTAACAATAAGAGGTGTATTAGTATACATGTGGCATGAAGAGTTTACCTGATGCAATTAGCCAAAAAACATAATTAAAGATTTAACAAGCACCAAGAAACTGTGAAATTTAAGGTAGAAGGTAGTAAGTGACAGTTAAAGCTAGACAAGGGGAAGAGAGCATGCCTGGAAGGAGACTTTCCTTCTTTAGAAAAAGGCAAATATTATTACTGTCAGGGACAGTATAGTAATTCTGATACATGAACAGACTAATCCAACATTGCAGGTCATGAGTTCCCTACAAATTCTATTATAAAGGAAAAAACAGTCCTAATTTTGTTCAGGTTGGACTGAGCAGAGCAAAAAGAATAATTTTATTTATTTATTTTGTGAAGACCCATTCTGATATATTTTGAATTATGTATCCCTATTTAATTGATAGTGAAAACAGATACTGATAGTGTGATTTCACTGAGTCATAAGACCACAGACCACAACTCACTGACATGGCAGAATAAAGCCATTTACCAATTACTGGAGAAGATGTAGCATCTCTCCATAATCACAGTCTTTCTACAGTAGTCTTCTTGAAAACAGTTTCATTTTCTGAATCCTGCACTCAAAATGAAGAACACAATTAATGTAAGTATTAAGCGTGCTTTAACTGGAGAGCCAGACAGAGCCATTTGCTATTTAATGTTTTATGGACTCTTTACGTCACCCTGTCAGGGTGATATTTTGAGGAGCAGTGCACGTGTGCTGTGCCAGCACTGCGGCTCTTGGATTGAAGCCACAGCTGGATGGCACTGAGAGCATTAGCTGACGTGTTAGATGGTCTCATGGTTTTTGCCTGCCTCAGATAATACTCAGATCTGCCTGAAATGGAGATATATCCTACAGTGTAGCCATAACCCTTGGGGGGCAGTTGTTATGTCTGTCAAAAGATCCTGCTAAAGAGCCGAGCAGCATCCTCACAACAGCAGGAGCGAGGAGGAAAATCACAGCACGGAAACCCAAAGACCTTCCAGCTGCACTATGCAGATCACATGTAATAAACCTGGTCAGTGTTTCTCATAAATTGTAAACAGAGTCTCAGCAAACGCCGGGCTGAGGAAACAGAGGTGCCGTTTTCCAGCCTGTATGCGATCTGCCTCGTTCATTCCTGCTGAACTTCTGACGTTTTCTCCCCCGTGACAAGAGCTGCTGCAGCTTGCACATTCATCCTCGTAGCATAAGGCACCCTCGCAGGCTGGAAGTTATTACCGGTGCTGGGTATGGCCAAGAGCGAAAAGCTCAGCAGTAGTTTCTTATCAACCAAAACCAATCTCATCCTGAAAAGGAGTTCAAATTTGCTGGATTATGCTGTGAAACAATCTGGCTGCTGGGTAGCGCAGGTGATTTAAGCATCAGGGCTTCCCGTGGTCTAAGACTGACAGCCTCCAGTCGGTGCCCCTAGCTCTTTGACAGTGATGTGGCAACACTTAGTGGTTGCTGATGAACAGGTCTGCAGTGATCATGCCTCTGTTTTCTGTTTTGTTTTTTTTGTTTTTATCTTTTCCTCAGGGGAAATCGCTCACATCAAAGAGGTTAACCAGTCTAGTGCAGTCCTACTAAAAGGATCACCTTGTAGCATGGAAGCAGACTCAAATCATTACACATACTTTGTAGCTCACTGATTGCCTGAATCAGAGGACAGTAGAACAAGATGTTGCATGAGCAAGGACCTGACTTGTTTTCTTTTGTGTATACTAAGGCATTACAGACTCCGAGGGACTCTCTAGCCTTTCGATGCCTCCATTTCGAAAACTGTCTGCTCACTTCCTCCTTCATATCAAGCTGGATCTGTGTCTTTTTATTTTCTGCAAGCTCAAGTACAGTGAAAAAAAAGCTTCTGCTAGACACAGTTTATTAAAAAAAATACGTCAATCAAAAACTGGAAGAAATGTAAAAAATGCATATATTAATAAATATACATATGGCATCACATTTATTGCACAATAAATTAGCACAGAAGGTTTCATTTCACTGATGTATTCACATTGAGAAAGAAAGCCTGTGTCTTTGTCTGTTGTCTGTATATTCTCTGTTAATGTTTCTTGCATTTATTTTTATACCATATTTAAAAAAAAAGGACACCTTTTACTCCAGATGTATTAAAGTTGATCCTTTCTCTGTAAATTTGTGTATGTTTATATTGTTGTTTTATCTTTCATTAAAAGATGCAGAATCTCTTTCCTTTGGGAAGTTTGAGATTTTAATATTGAACCTTAAGATTAGTCAAGACCAAACTCATCCCCAAGAATTATATACTGTCCGCTGTCTAAAAAGTGACATTGAAATGGCATTTGGACCTCGGCATTTTCTTTCTCTCAGTGAGGCCTGATCAAACACATTTAATGGTAATTGTTTACTCTTCATTTTCTTTCTATCAAGCTATCAGCAGTGAGACTTTTCCAGCTTGCTTGTCATCCCATCAGTAAATGCTTCTTAAAGCAAGGTTAGCACTGCTGTCCCCAAAGTCCGTTCCAGTCATCCCATGTAATCAGATGGTTGCTACCCAAGAAGGGAGGAACTTATCTGCATTTATTTCCAAACAAATCTGGCAAGTACATATTTGGGTTTCTCCTTCTGGCTGTCACTTACCATAAAGCTCAACAATATTAAGCAGAAAAGGTAGTGGCTGGAGGTTCTTCTCGTTGCTCCTACCAGAGAGCACAGCTTGAGCAGTCAGTACAGGAAGCTGTAATTTTAATTCAAGAGCTCTGTTCAGGTTCACTGCTGAGATTATTTGCATAAAGACCTACTGATGAAGTTTCCAGAAACATGGAGCAGTTGTCCCTGAGACAACAGACCCAGCGCAACCTGAGGCTGGCTTGGGCTGGAACTACAGCATCTCTGCTTAACCTGAGAAACGGCCCTTGGCACCGATCCCGACAGTGAGGATAGCAGGTAGGATCTCTGAGAAGAAAAGAGGCTGTGTCACCGACGCTGGACAAGCAAGTGCTGATGCCTTCAGAGCACTGCAAGGTACCCAGGACAGCCACAGTGGAAGAGCCTTGTTAGCAATGCACAGGACAGGCGCAGGAGAGCCGAAGTCAGTATCATCTGTTGTAATGAAATTTGTTTGCTATGAGAAATGGGTTTCTGGTTTTGAAGGGAACTGCAAAACTCAAAACACCCACTCCCACCCCCCTGAAAAAACAAAAAGGACAATAATAGACACAGTCAGATTTTCCAGGATCAGGGAATAAATCTGCATACGTGAACGCTGGAGCCATCTCATTAAACATGGGGCACCAGGGCTGTGCGGCTCCCTCGGTGGCTGCGCTGCCCGGCCCACAGGAAGGGCTGGAGGGGCTGGAGGGGAGCCGGGATCCCACTGCAGGGAGCTCTGCTCTGCCCATTCAGCTGCAGCTTCCGCACCTCAGGAGGCCCCTGAAAGTCCCCAGAAGGAACCTGGGACCAAACACGTCTTACAAATCACTGTGAGCGGCTCTTCCCCAAGTTTTTGCTTAGTTAGGATTTCAAACAAGAAATAAACAACAATTACAAAGATAATAATCATTGCTTTAAAGTATCTCAGCGTTTGTTCACACCATTTTTTTTCTGAGCTTTATTCTATCAATAAACAGTGAAAATGCCCCATGAAAACTTGATTTTATCAAGCACTCCATCGAGGTCATTTCAAGATTTTCACAGTCTAGGGAGGCTGGATGAATTTTAATAAATATCCACACTGAGCCCAGATCTTAAACTCTGAGATTTAATTTTCCTTCACCACATAAATGTGAGCACTGAAGCATGAACCTTGGGCTAGGCAATCCACAGAAATTTGAGTTCTGTTACACTTCTCAGTGCCAAATAGAGATATTTATTTCCAAACTCCTGCTGTCACCAATTGCATCAACGGGTATGTTGCCTGCTTTTCCTCAGAAGTTAACTAATTAGCTACCAGCAACTGCTTTGAAACATCACTTGCTTCCAATTAAGTAAAGTTGCAAATTTATGCATTAAGTAGTTTGTGAAACTTTATACTGAGAACATGATTCCAGTCCTCTACCTCCCCTCAGCAAATCAGTGGGCAGCACAGATGGGCCAGGAAAAACATTTGGAGCGTTTATTTTCGTGGACCCATTTTATACTTGTTCTGGATCTTTCCTTTCAATAAATATGGAGCCTGTGTTGAATGGCTCTTGTTTCCCATATTTGCACGGGCCTTTAACACAGTGCATGCAAATGAAAAACAGGGATTACTAATAAAGATTTCAAAGTAGTCAGCTGTATTATGGTTTCACCTGGCCCTTGTTTCAAATGATGCTACTCCACTGTTATACATGACCAGTAGTGTGAATTTGCTCCGGCAGATGGAACGAAACCTGTTCTACAACTCGTTTATTTGTGAATGGTTTATCTGAGGTCTTTTGGTGCACATCCTGATCACCATCATGTATCAGCAATGCACTCCTAGGAATAGAAACTCCAAGCAGCCACACACTTCCGCACAGAGGAACAAAAGAGAGGGAACAGAGAAGTTTATTTTCAGGGGGGAAAAAATGTTTATCGGTGAGTGGGCACCATTTCTCCCTTTAGGTGAAATGTAAACTATTCTTTACCTCTCCAAACCCAAAGAGGGAGGGAAAAGGCCCTAACCAGTGAAGGGAGAAAAAACAAAATGCTCAGCCAGAAGAACAATGGAGACTGGCCAAAAATTAATGAGCTGAAGGTGAGTACAGAAGTAAAAAATGAGAATTAATTGCGGTGACCAGAGTGGAGCTGACAGGGGAGGAGAACTTGGGAATCAAATAATTAGGATCAAGAGAGGCTGAAATTCAGCTGGCGAATTGCCAGGCTGTCAGCCACAGCCATACAGAACTGGACTCAAAATGCAAAGAAATCAGACGAGACAAACTGGCTGGTGCTTAAACACCCAGCAAAGACACGTTCTGGTAAGATGCTCTTCATATAGAATCTAGAGCATTTCATCTTTCACTTTGCACCCTCTACTACTCTTTGAAATCATGAAATGCAAATGCCAAGAAATAGCAAATAGAGAACAAGAACCAGTTCCAGAAAATAGGTACTACAAGAATGCACTTAGAATGTTTATTAAAAAAAAAAAAAAAAAAAAAAAAAGGGACAAAAAAGATGAAGAGAAGGCTGTTCTTGAAGTAAATTTAATGAGGCACTGGGAATCACCAATAATTTATTTTCAGCTCTTATGTTTGTACTCATCCTGAATGACTAAAAGCTATTTGCATTTAGCTGTTCCTTCCCTTCCCTTCCTTAACCTTCGCTTCCCTTCTCTTCCTTAACCTTCCCATTCCTTCCCATCCCACTACAAAACAATACATTAAGTGTGCAAAAGACATAATTTTTGCTAAAACAAAAAGTTAATAGTTACAGGAACCAATCTAAACCTCATATTTAATCCCGAGATGTTCAAAGGAAGATACTAAAGATTCATTAGAGCATACTTGGCATCCACCGCTCGTGCCGGGGGGTTATTAAGTAGCTGTGAATCATACACCTTTGCTTCCAGTCCGGCAGCGCTAATGGAGGAGCGTTGGTGCCTGGCGCGTGCCCGCAGGAGCCACGATGCCGCAGAGCTGGCGGGAGGCCGGATGGGCGCTGCGAGGCCCGGCTCCCCACACCACACCGTGTCCCCAAGGCCCGGCTCCCCACGCCATGTCCCCAAGGCCCAGCTTCCTGCGCCGTGTCCCCAGGGCCCGGCTCCCTGCGCTGTGTCCCCAAGGCCCAGCTCCCCACACTGTGCTGAGTCCCCAAGGCCCAGCTTCCCGCATCGTGTTCCCAAGGCCCCGCTCCCAGCGCTTTGTCCCCGAGTCCTGGCTCTCCACACTGCGCCATGTCCCACTGCGGTCTCCTCAGCTGACCCCTGCGCAAGCAGACGCGTTTTCCCTCGCACAGGCACTAGCTCAGGGCTCACAGCCCCTCCAGACAGTCTCCATCTCTGCCGCTAGAAAGATTTTTTATTTCCTAGTATCCAAAATAAACCTTCTTTACTCCAGTCTGTCCCTTTCTCTGTTGACTTGGCCACTGCAGTCATGGCAATAAAGTGTTACCTCCTCTTTGCTCAGATAAATGAACATCCGCTGCAGTGTTACAGTCTCCTCTAGTGTTCTAGCTTTCCACAGTAGGTACCTGATGCTGATCCCTGTGCAAGCTGTTAGGAGGAGTAACCTCTGAGAACCTGAACAGTGTCCAGGTGAGAGCACATGCTTGCAGGGCTGGACATGGACAGCAAATATCAAACAACATTACAGCCCTATGGTAAGTTTTAACTTGATAGTGGCATTTGCAAAATTTTTACTATATCTTCCTTTTCCTTTCCTATTCCCCAAATATAGTCTGATACATTCACCTTCGTTGTCTCCTTTTTTTTTTTTAACTAACTAGATTTTGAAATTTTGTGTTAGGTTTATCCATTAGCCTTATGGCTTCTTTTTCCCCTCTCTTTCATAGAAAGAAGCTTTTCTTGAATAATCACTTGCCTATTCACCTCCTTACTCCCTTCTCCCTTGCCTTTTTGAAAGATCCAAGTGTTCAGGCGTTTTTAATATACCTTTTGATACTGCACCTCTTTGCTGAGAGGAATGTATAACCTGGAAGCCATGACTTTTTTGGAGAGTTTTAAGTGCATCTCTTTTAATATACTGTTCTGTACTGTTCTTTATCTAACTGATCTGTTCTTTTAAATTCTTTCTTCCTTCTCCCTCTACATCTTCTTTTTTTTTTTTTAAGGATTTTCTGTCTGTTCATGGTTCTTGACCTCTGGTGCTCTGATTCTCACTCCATCAATCCCTCTTGCATGTTCCTATGGTGACCACAAAAGCTCCTTACTCTAACCTTACCTCTATTTTATCTTTTTTTTTTGAAATTTAAAGAATTATAAGAAACAGGAGAAAGGGAAAGGCTGGATGGCAGCAAGGGCTAAGGCTGATGCAGAACTTCTCTCTTCATGACATCTCCTGATCTCGCAGGGTTTTCCTGCCTCCAGGGTGTCATCTCTACTCTGCTGCTACCAGATGCTGCTGTCTCAAATTTGCCTCCTTTAGAGGTGTCTGTGAGGCTTCAGACCATTTAAGCACTTCTAAACAACCAAAATACTTCCCTGGCTACCCTCTGTGTTTCAGCTCGTCCCTTAATAAATTTA